TTTCTCAGCACTCGGTATACAGAGGTGAGGCGGCTTCCGTCCTAGATCTCCAGTGCCGAAGTTACGTCAACACTTGGTGCCCAGTGTCGGCGGCTTCAGCACTGGAAACTCTAAATCGGCAAATCAAACCTTGTCTAAAAGGGGTATAGAGATCGATGCCGCCTTTGAACTCTAACACTTATATTTTCGAGATCGTACCGCCCGGGAAGCAAATTATAATCGGGGTGACAAGGTGATCGGCAGGACAATACTGCAAGGCTCAGATCCTCACATTTTTACAGACATAGACTTGGCCTACGATACTGTACTGTACGCCGCGCGGCCGACGTAAGCACCAGAGGCCCAGTGCCGAAATGATTTGAGAACTCGGCTCCCAGCGCCAAGAGTCACCGAGCACTGGAACGATCCAGTGAGGAATCCGTTACTTAGGGACTTCGGCACTTGCTATCCAGTGGTGAACGGCCTCCGAGCACTGGTAGCGAGTGCCGAGTGGAATTCAGCACTAGCTATCCAGTGGTGAACGGCCTCCGAGCGCTGGCTATCCAGTGGTGAACGGCCTCCGAGCTCTGGCAAACGAGTGCTGGGTGGAAGTTAGCACCGGAAAACGAGTGCCGAGTCAAGATTCAGCTCTTGAATTCCAGTCCTGACGGTGTTTCAGCACTGGAACAAAGCCGTTTCTGCACTAGAATTCCAGTGCGGAGCTTTCTTCCGCACAGGGCCCCGAGTGTCGACGCCACTTTCCCCGTGAGTTCCGCACTGGGCGGCCAGTGAGGAACCCGTTACTTCGGTACCCTTGCCTTCGGCTGGAACGTTACTCATTCTTGATTTCGTACAAACGTAATTTCCTTTGCAGTTAATACACGTGGCTGTTAAAGAAGGACGAAAGGAGGCAGGCTGATACACGAGTTACCAGTTTCGCGGCGCCATTTTGGGTCAGAGGTCACCCGGAGCAAAACAAGCCCGGCGCAGCTGGCGCGAGCATGTGAGTTCGCGGAAAAGTGCTAATACGCGTGGCCACGTTGTCTCCGGTTTTCTTTAACTTTAAAAGCTTTAAAAGCGTGCATTTTCCGTGCTGTCGCCAATCTACCGATAGAAGGGAGCGTGCATCAGCATGGAGCAAACCATTTTCTCAAATATGGGAGCAAGCAATCTCATGATGTAACGTTAACGTTAGTTTATCTTGTAATAAAAGTGCTTTTGTTACCAATGAAGGTTACAAAATATTTTAAACTTAATATTTGTTTAAATGCCATTCAATTTGTTTGTAAAACTGCATTTGTATCTGTCCTTTTCGATCTGACGTCATATTATTGGGGTTTCCACCCCGACTACTAATGGTCTCCTCCGACTAAGACATTTGACCTCAAGATGGCGTCGAAGTAACACAGTAGAAGCTGGTGTAGAGCGTTTTGATTTGAATACGTCAATAATTTGTATTTTGTGCAATATTTCAACAATGGAGGAGATAGAGGTGGTATCTACAGTCTGTCTGATCTTCACACTGTGCATGTTTTCCGCAGGAATGTGAGCAAAACTACTTCCAACTTTCGTATAAATTTATTCACAGCACAGTCAAAACAGGCATAAATTTGTTTACCAGGGTGGCCTAGATAATATGATAAAAGTACTAATTTGAAAACCCAAAGAAAGCAAGGAACTATGGACATTATTGATGTATCTATGATGACATATGTGCATTTTAATAAACTATTGGGTTTTGAGATGTAAGCGATTTATTAACTCTCCGCATAACTTTTGTCTATATAACCAAGGTTTGATATCATGTTATATAACGTTAACGTTGTATCAGATTGTATCTCATTGCCCTGTATTCTGCCAACATGTAACGTTACAGGCCAGACTGCTGGAGGATGTGGAGGACCAGAAGTACCCAGAATGTTCCATTTCTTCCCTTCCTGGTAACCTGCATCAAGTAGGTACCATTTCTACTAAAGTACAAAAATTGTAACGTTAGCTTATAACGTTAATCTATTTCTCACAACTCATCTTTATATTCACATCAATGCAGCTGAAATTGTTTACTTTAACTTTATGGTGGCCTGGTGCATAATGGTATATTTGTTTCAGGGACATCGTTCTTATTAGATTCAGATGAAAAGTTACTAGATATGGCAAGTATACGAAAGCCACGCCTTCCGCACTGGTGTTCCAGTGCTGTTTCAGTAGTCGGCGTCAGCACTGTTGAAATTTAATCGAGCACTGGGTTTCCAGTGCTGAAGCTCGACCAGCACTGGGTTTCCAGTGCTGAACATTGTCTCTGACTGAGTGCTGGTGTTCTTGTGCCGAATGCCTCTCTGCACTCGTACTTTGCTCAGATATGTCTTTTTTTTCAGTAATCTGATATGGCTGTACTATGGTTTGTGGCGACAAGACTCTACCCTGATCATAGTCAATGCTGTTGGAGCACTTCTCCAGTCCATCTGTATGTTCACATACATGGTCGCCTCTAAACAGAAGGTAGGTGTTTATTCGATACGTTCCTCCAGTCAAAATGTTCCCAAATTTCATGGTCTGATGCAGAAAGAAGTCTTCAGTAGCCAATGTCGTATTTATATGTTTTTGTGTGTGTGTGGTGTATTTGGAACTCGTGTCAAAAGTATATTTATTTGATTAATTTATTTATTTCCTGTATGTGTACACCTATGCCTTCACCTGTTTAAAGAGGAAGGTTGGACTATAAAACCACCCAATAAATTCGGGTACTGTAAACTCTCACAGCTCAGTCTGCAACTGGCAGCCGTGGTGAATACATGGGGAGAGCTAGGCTGAGATAGTATACCAAGTACACCTCTTCAACATTATGTGGAGACATGGATATGTACATGAAAAGTACATATAATATTTTACTAAACAACAAGAATATAGACTAACAGCTACACAGGCATGTACTATTACTCTCCAAGCAGAGGTGAGAGGGAGAGAACGTAGGATATTCCGACATGGCTAGCTAAGGGAGGCACATTTCGTGTGCCTCCCTTAGCTAGCCATGTCGGAATATCCTACGTTCTCTCCCTCTCACCTCTGCTTGGAGAGTATAGAAATCTAGTTTGGCTGTGGATAAGATGTGCAATTTGTGATTACAGATATAAGTTTTTGAAACAAACATGGAAGCTTGACAGAGGCTCATCTCTGCTGGAATTGTTCAAATTGGAAACTGTAGGCCCTTATCGTGTATAACGACTGCCAAGTAAATGTTACATGGATTGTGTTTGTTTGCTGCAACTGTCTGTGTCATTCCTTGTATGGCAATGTTTTGTTGAAAAACTAGTGAAGATAAAATACAACATTTTTCAAAACTTCAAACGTCAGTTAATATGCAAATCACTGTCTGTCGTCTGCTCCCATTGTTTCCACTGGCAGTCGGGTTCAGACACCCCGTGGCTTATAATCCATTTATGATGTTGGCAGCATGTGCGGGGTCAATTTAGCTACTAGATCCTCACAGGGGATAGTTTCTTTATTGGTGGAGGACCCTGGGTCCTCCAAGTTCCTCTTTAAGCTGTGACCATGCTGGTTTGTACCTTTCAGAGCAGGCCCATGAGTCAGATAGTTGTGGGTGTGGCTTTGCTGACCACCCTATATCTGTACCTCACTATAGTCATCACCAGTCAAGCCGTTCTTGTGGACCGGCTGGGGTTGGCAGGAGCTGGCATTACCATACTAATGTACACTTCTCCAATGATGGAATTGGTGAGTGTACAAAATTTCTTGCACTTCTCTTTGTGTGAACAGAACTCTCTGGGATGGGAACCCCCCCGTGTACATAATTTGTAACTGCACCCCTTGCTGCTTGCGCAGTAATCCATCTATGGATAACTTAATTACTTGTCTTTATGTAGCTCCCATTGATTGTGTTGTCCAACATCATCCCTTTCAGATCACTGTGATAAGGACAAAGTCCACCAGGTCCATCTCCAGGCCTCTGACAGTCGCCACATTCTTTGCTTCAAGCCTGTGGTTTTACTATGGCTATCTCCTGCAAGATCCTTATGTCCAAGTAAGTATGAAAACTAAGGAGTGGACTTTTGTGTTTGGCTTTGAATAAGTACAAATGGTGCAAGATTCTAGGATAAGACATTTCTCTATATAAATCATGTTCCTCACAGAGTGCAATCATCCCTAAACCTTACAGTTTTCTTGTTTCTGTTTGCAGGTTCCCAATTTACCTGGGATCATTTCCAGCATTGCCAGGTTCTTCCTCTTCTGGAGGTACCCAGGGGAAAAACTAGCTTGATTTCTCATGCATGAGAACATGGAAACATCTAAATTGTGGAATAGCCACTACATCATATTGAGTATGGGATGGAAAGGGCAAGAGTTGTTTCTCTCAGGGATAAGATTCTTGTTGTTTTTTGGGTGTTATTTTGTCAATTTGTGCAGTTTGCAGACAAATTGTAACATATATTAGTGATGACATGGCATTGGGCTAGTAGTGTCATTTCTGTCAATATGTAATATGTACATGAAACTTAAAATTCATTCCTTTTGTTTGACAACAGCTATGAATAGCCATAAATGATTATCAACTTTTGCTTTTCTCTTCACAGGATGTGTATCTTCTTTTAACAACTTGCAATAAATCACAAATTTTAGAATTATCATTATCAATTTTACAGCAAATCAAATGTTACATGTACATGTATATTTACATATGAAAAATGTAGGCTACCCCGGTAGGTAGACTATTTTTTCCTTGATGTTTCATCATTAGTAGTTTTATGGAGAGTCCCAACCTCCATGGTTGTCTTCTAATTGGAAAATGAACAGCTGTGGTTGCTCATTTCCACCCAGGTTTACACGCCAGGGCCACGGCCTGTGATTGGCCACAAGGCCTCCACACGCCCTCCTCTCACCCCCACCAGCCAATCATAGAGGTTGACAGTTGGATCACAGTGCCCTGGGATGAGCCATACTTGGTCTCCTATCTGGAAGAAGTACAATATGTACATTCCAATGTTTCAAACTGAGATTTACAGTACTACATGTATTATCTTATATGTACTTCAATACTACATCACTTACAAACATGATTGTAGAGGAGTTGGCTCTTCCTCATTGTGACAACATATTTCCATCACTCTCTAGTTCCCCCAGAGTCACTCTCATCTGTATTTGTCCACATACAATGTATACTGCAATTATTAGCCTCATGCCAGAAGGACATATTTTTATACTTTCTATATCTATGCCCACCTTATATGACCCCGGTGGTACCAGGACTCCATGTTCATCCCCTCCACAGTGGTACACAATATCAGTGTTGGGATAAACCTGAGGAATTATGGAGCAAATGAAAGGGAGGAATAAATGCATAGTTCAAGCAATTAGTCAATCAAGTCTGATTGTCTTCACAATTAAGAAACGGTACTTTGACAAGCTTTAAGTGGATGTGGACAACATTACTTGCTTCAAGTTGTGGACAAGATTACTTGCTTCAAGATGTTTTGTTATGAAAAACAGCAAAAGTTGGTTTGAAAGTCATGACATGCCTTGGACATGCCATGCTGCTGCTATCATGGTATATGGTGATGTTCCATGGATTTTCAACATAAGAAATTGCAAAACCACTACAGTTGTACTTAAACATTGGACCACAGAGAAATACAAAAACAGCAGACCATTGGAATGTATAAAGCTACTCTACAACTGTTCTTTAGGTCTATAACCTTAGAATGCTCCTACCAGTGGCACTCCTGAATCCATGCTTAAGGCCTTCAAACCAGCATCTACAACAGCACGGTTTCCTTCCTGTAAAAATAAAACATTCATATTAAGTGTGCCATGTGATCGAGAAACATTTCTTCAGTAGGAATTTTTAGAAAGTAATAGTTGTAACTTACAGGAACACTCTGTACAGTAGCCAGGACAAACAGGCTCTGGTGGAACTGGTGTACTGGCTGGCCATCCTCACCAAAGTTCCTTCCATAGTCTGCATCCATGAACACATAGGATCCTGGCTGGACTTCAGTGAACACTGAAATCAAGTAAAAGTGTTTTTATTTACTTCCGGGACCCATACAACCAATTGACTCATTTAGTTATTGCCATCGTGTGACGATTTTTGCATGGTGTAAAAGATGAAGATCAGAAGAAAGGATAAGAGGATAAGAGGACACAACAGTTCTACACGTAAAGGGGTGAACCACTCTAATGTATCTTCTAATTGTCAACACCCTTTCTATTAAGAGATAAACAGCTCAAATCAGGCAAGAATAACAACATTATGTATGGATCCATTCGGGTAAGACGAAATAAAAATAGGCTGATGAAGTCCATCCTAGAAAGAGCTGGCAGTAATAACGTAATACCTCCGCTGCTAGCCTCGTACATGTAGGTTCCAGTTCCTCCTCCCGTCACATAGTCACACTTGATGTCTTCATCCTCAAGAGCCTGTGGGATGATATGTGTTCTGTATCACTTATTTGTCATATCATTGTAGGTGAAAGGCAGTGCGATATCCAATAAGTTTCGAATAGTTGATACCATTGTCGTTGATGATATATGGGACTTTTATTTTCATGAATATGTACTGTACATATTCCCCAGTATGATTCTATCGTAGCCTTAATAGAGCATGAGAAATGTACACCATTTTAACTTAACCACGTGGTACCTTTAATGCTGCAGCTGCCTTGTCTACAGCTTCAGCCGTGGCTCCTGCTCGCTCTGCTGCCTTGCGAATGTGCTGGTTGGACCTGAGAATAAAATGAAAACATCACGGCACATCCAGAAGTCCGCCAGCTATTAACTGTGGAGCATTTCTGCTTAGACGAGGTTGTATATATTTGATACCCTGGTATCCATCCCTAGTTTTAGCTCCAGTTTAATCCGATGGTCATTCCCCCTCTGCATAGCTATAGGTAAAATCATATCAATAACAGTAAATAGTATGTTGGGCTATTGTTCTTCAACTTCGTTTTATGGCTGTATCACATGGCCTATCAGCACCATCATCTTAACGATACGTTCTACTAGTATATCATGAAGCCGTACGTACCCTTGGTAACAATGGAGACCTTTAAAGGTGAGATTGGGCAAAGTTTGGATTAGGCTGGCGAGTTTGACAACTTCGGGTCCAGGCAGTACACCACACCTACATGGATCGAAGGAAGGTTCATCAGAAGTGATAGATTGGAAAATAAAAATGTATCTTGACTCAAAGCCTGTGCGTAAATATAATGTCTTTATTATCGTATATCGATTTTTCTCGCCTATAAATTTACATAAATTTACTGCATCAGTATCGAGTTAAAATGACGAACAGCATTAATTCCTAACACACATGCCAGGTGAACTCACCCTGGCTTGAGTTAAGGCATTTTGGCATCAGGACAACAAAAGCGAGATTGCCACCAATCCGACTAACCTCCGAAGTCGATCGTAATTGGTTTGTCACTAATTAGAACATTCATTTGCACCGAGGACACACCCTTTTTGTGATAACTTGGGGAAGTAAAGATGCCGACCTGGGCATACCGACGTTGACATCAACAAGGACGCCAATGTTGACCCCCATTCTGTGGGCGGCATCTGACAGGTCCCTGACATTCTGTTGGCTGTCCGCCACTATAGACACCGTGGCGAGCCGCGCCAGGGACATCAGTCTGGTCAGTTTGGAGCGGCTTACGATCTAAAGGGTTGAAGTAATGGGGGATGCAATTTATTTTGAGTTTCAAATTACTAGTAGCACACCCTCAAATCTAGTGACCATGTCAACAATAATTTTTTGTGTGTATTGGGTTCTTTTTATACATACACGTACAATGATTATCATAATAGATATTTTTTTACATTCGAACATGTAATCACAAGACGTGGGACACCAATTTCAACTTATATTAATGCCGCCACCAACACATGGGACAATACAATACTCATTTTCACCTGAGCGAAGTGAGGAAAGTCATGTAAAGTGCTTTTCCCAAGGGCATAAGATCGGTGGCATGTCAGGACATAATATTTGATTATGTAATACATGTGCTGGTAAAAGAAAAGCACGTGAACGACAACACTACCTCATTGGTGACAAGAACATCCTCGACACCTCCGTGCACCATAGCCTCGGCTTCCGTCAGCTTCTGAACACAAACACCCACAGCGCCGTGAGACACCTGAGAGGAGTAAGAAATGAAAAAAAAGTACGGACTTTCACTCATGCCAAAAAAATAAATAGAAAGTGTCCCTCATGCAACCAAGATCAGATCAATCTCTATCCACGTCTATCTGCTACAACTCTGAATTGAAAAATTAACAATGGGAGAAAAGATTGCCTAAACCCGACCAAATAAACTAGTATAGCATCTGTTAAAGTGAACAATTCCAGTACACTTTAGTTAGCCTGGTATCCAGCCTTGTTAGCTTTAGTCCGCTACCCAAGATCCGCTCCCCGCTCCTGTTGGCGGGGAGCGGATCTTGGGTAGCGGACTAAAGCTAACAAGGCTGGATACCAGGCTACACTTTAGTATGTTTAGCCTACTTTATAGGTCAATCAGTCAGATATCGATGAGAAAGATGGGAACAAAAGGGATGACAGAAGGAAGGAAGAAAAGAAGACATCTCTAGTGTAACGTTGTAACATGTTCTCTGTCTACACTCGCCAATCTAGATTGTAGTATCTAACAGCCCATAGCCCGCCACTAAGGTACAAAGTTCACAACAATGTACATCACCAACCCATAGGAAGGGGCGTATAGCATAACCACCTGCAGTTTGGCCAGTGTCGGGCACTTGTGCGATTTAGCATGGGGTCTGAGCTTCAGATTACTGTACTTCTCTAGAGTCCTTGGCATCGTTTTTAAGTTCTCTTCCAACTTGTCCAAGTCCACCAGGAGAGCTGGGGTGTCGATGTCGCATAGTGCGTCTCCAATCCTACAGGGGGCGCGGGGTGCCGCCATGACAGCGCGCTCTCAGTACTGTCAGCTGGTCCTTTCCCAAACCCGGCCTAATCGTGACAGGGCGGATAGTAGCCTGGCTTTACCTTGTAGTCTTATATAATGATTACCCTCCCGCAAATGGTATGGAAAGGTCCTTGCGGGGACACAAGTTGAGAAATAGTGGAACGTCAGTGTCTGTTACTCCTTCCAAATGATAAGCGCGCTCCTCTCGACCCTGACGGAACGCGTGCACTTGTTACTCTCGGCCCAGAATGATGCGTTTACAGTGTCACTTGGTTGGTTATGGGCACATCTGTTTGATTGACGCTTGGCAAGATCATATGGATTTTGAGACTTTTTAGCCATTAGTCAAATTTTTGTTAAAAAACTGAAGTCATGATCATTAAATATTCCATGGTGCCCCATGCGACTTTCCCTGAAATTGTAATTTGTATTTTCTGCGTAAACTGCAGAGCAACAAAAAAAAGCAATAGAGGCATTCTTATCAATATATTTATGTACATGGTTAATTGAATAAAAGAATAAGTTGGGCTGCAGCAACCAGTGTAGTACTCCACAATGCACTTACGACACAGGGAATAAAGCAGTAAAACCATGACTCCTACCCTAATTGCTCTACCGGGGTCTTTTGGAAATTCTTCTTGTATCTCGTTTTCGAACAATGAGAATAGATTAGGTCAAATGGATCTGGATCAAAGGGCAGTAGTACATGGGGGTGAGATCGTACAAGTGTCGGCCGGTAAATTCCGGCTGTTATTTATGCCGTGAAGAAAGATTTCCAGGGCGCATGGGCAAACACCCACACAGGACTTTGCACTTCTTACCCCAGCGTCGATATGAAGTGGCTCTACCGTAAGTTTACCTGTTGAATTATTGGTTAAACAAAACCCTGCATGTGCTTGGAAGGGGTGTTACTTCTCAAAGGACTCAACCTTTTATCTTACTAATGTGATTTGAGATGGAGATAAAAATGGGGAAAAGGTGTCTTTGTCAGATATTCAGCCGGAGTAGAATCTAGTTCGGAAGTGAAAGGCGCGCTGTCAAAATCGCTGTTGAGTTTATTGCACCCCTCAGACATGAATGTGTCTACCCCAAGGGTATAAATGCCCAAAATAGATCAATTGACGTAAAGTATAGGCTCCGCTCCCTCACTGCATCACGTGGTGTAAAATATCCAGACGACAGTAACTTCTGATTTGGAGTTGTTCCGAGTTTTATTGACTAACAAGTTACCAGACAGACAACGCTGAGTATTACGTGTCCATCCAAACTTTAGGATGACTGATCTGACACACAAGTGAGAGAAGGGAAGACCGGCGGAGCTGCATGGTATTTTCGGATGGAATTGTTGTGTCCGGCACATCATGTAAGTAGGCAATGTTGTCACTTTTCATCAGGTGGGTTGTTTTAAGAGTGTGTTAAAGGCTTAAAGTAAGGTTAAAGCAGGTTCTGCCAAGTGGAAACTTGTCACCATCAGGTATAACGTTTTGAAATAAATGAGAACATTTCTTATCTGAAGGAAGTATTCTATTTTGGGCATGAGTTAAATGTTGACAACTAAGAAGTGACCGACAGGTGACAAGGCGGTGCCCCGCATTCCGCTATTGCATCAGTAACTCACCTGTCGTATCATGAGGACACCGCCGGCTTATCATAACTAAATACGTAACGACAATCTGGGTGGCTATAAGTAGAGCTCAGATCTAGAGGACGAAAAGGCCACCACACTGTGCATCTATATTAAACATAACTGCACTAAACCTTTCTTTAGCAAAGGGGACGTTGATGGTTGTGTAATATATGTATAGTAAGGGGCCTGCAGTTCTATTCAAAAGTCATGTTCGTGAGTTGGTGAGGGTGTTCTTCTGGAAATACCTCCTTCTTCTTGAAATGCCTCCTTGTGGACATATTTGATGCAACCTGACATTTTCAAACTGCGAGAAACAAATGCAAGGTATGTGGATATTACATAGCCTGTACTAGGCACTCGGTGTGGCAAAATGTTCTCTCCCAGTAGGCAAACTTCCCTGGCATCTCTCTATTTGGCCGATATGATTTGTACTCTTTCCAGCCGTCTCCCGAAGCCCGGTAGAGGCTAGAACAAAAAGAGAGGCTCCGGGATCCACAATTTTTCTTCGAGTGTAAAGAATGGCTTCAAGCGAGTTAACGTTAGAACACCCGGTCCCTTTCCTAGCTCGCGTCGGAAATAGCTTACCTAACCCGGATGGCAGGTCATCTAGGTTACGTATACGTGTGTTTCATTTGAATGTGTTAATATTGTGAAACGTGCACCGCGCACTTACACTCGCGGTCACTGCACGTTGTCAAACCGAAGTACCAAAGGTCAATCCAACCAAAGCTGCGATAAAGTAAAAAGTACCCATCTTTTCTTTTTTAAAAAGAAGACTTCATTGTTACATAGAAGAATTTCCTGGTTTAAAAGGAAGAATTTATTACTACCATACATTTTTTTTTTCTTTTAGAGGGGATTTAAATTCACGGCAGTGAGGAAATGAGGTTTTCACGGTCTTAAAAGTTCGCGGTTGAACAATGCAGAAACACAAAACACATTTTTGCAGGTCATGATTTTGCAGGCCATCCCGGAGACCTACGCGAACATTGCATGCAGGATCTATACCGTTATATTTCAAGGCTTCATGTGGCATGGGTACCTACGCGTATTTTGATTAATGAAAATTATATCCCCAGTAACTGGGTGGGTGGACCCCTAGCCTGTGGGGACACAATTTAGGCACCTGACTTTAATGTCAATCTACTGTTACAAATCCCCCTTTCCTGCCACACAATCAAAATAACTACGATCACACATGCAAACACACAAGATCACTATACACGGAGGTAAGTTTTCTACTGATATGTAATCCAACAAAATTGATAACATAAGTCATAACAATGGAGATAACCGGAATAACCGACGGTAAACCGAAATAAAATTTTCCATCCATTTTTTTTACCAAGTTAAGTCTATATATAGTCTCGTGCAACGCCCTGCCAACGACCTTGAGGTACTCGGTGTGTTATGTCTGGAATTGCGTACTGTCTGGAGCAAAGAGTAAAGACAATGTGTGAAAGAGCTCCGCCCTACATGCGTGCGTCACTGTGCTGTGATCGGTTTCTAATATGGTTGTGTTTTGGTGCAACTTGCACTGAAATGGCGACTTGTATGCTTAGATTTTCTGTACCGTGACAAGTTCCATTCCACTTTACAGGGCAAATTTATCGGCAAATATGGACTACTCGCACAACACGCTTCAAGAAGAGTACAACGGACCAACCAGAAACTTCCACACGGGCTTCCATTCACATGGCACTCCGTATGTACCCGTGGGTAGACTTCCATTGATCACAGCAGAAACGACGTCATTCCAAAGCAGTAGGTTTGGACCCAGAGGATCGATACCACACCTACCGAACCGATGTGTGTCAGGACCAGGATTCGTAGATTTTCGGCCTGATGCGCAGATATCTAGAGGTAGGGAAACCTGTTTCTGTCCGGACTGTTTGCACCGATGTAGGTCAACGGTCTCCGAATGCCTTTATAAATGTACAAATGATTTGAATGCAAGGACACCCACATTCCCCGACCAAATGCATCCCACCCACGTCTCCACAGTGCACGGAGTGTCACCTCACGCCGGGGCTTTCACAACTACCCATTCCTATCATAGAGGAATGCAGTCGGTGGGTTTTCGGCCGCCACAGCAGCACTTCATCAATTCTGACCGTAGTAGCTCAGCATACACCCACATGATGGGAAACGCTGACGAGGAATACGTGACCGTTCCGGAACCGATGTCTGCCCGACCAGGCATCCGGTCAACGAACCCCGCCGACAACCAAGGTCGGCCGATAGACGAAGAACCTCTCGACCTTTCGGCATCTGGGAGTAGTGCCAAGGTTGCGTTCTTCAACAACAATCAGAAATGCAGACGCAGCATTGGCACGGAACCTCTTGCAAAGCGGATACGACTCTGTCATTCTCAAACCCAACCAGCAAGAATTGACACCCGTCGGTTAGTGTCTTCCCGTGATGTCCTGGGGACAAATCTGTCCACGTGCACAGAAAATCCCGACTTTCCAGGCTCACACGAGGAACCAGCAGGTGACAGGCTTGAGTTCCTCCAGGAGTCTGCGGAACTTCCAAGAAATGTCGTAACACAAATATCAGGTTCTGAACCTCAACTCTTCGCAAACTCCTTCCTTGGTTTCTCCCCTTCCTCACCGCAGAAAGTCGCAGAAAGCGCACATTATAATTCGTTAGAAGAACCTACCCAACGGATAATTGCTGAAGAAAATCGCCAGGCTGCCTACATAAGAAGCAGTGACGGCCGAGGTGAAGGTAACGCGAGGACAATGTCGTTAGGCATGGCTTCACCGGACTTACAGCCGTGGGTGTCCACTGGCAGTCCATCGGTAAACTTACAGTACGATCACGCAGTCTTTCGCGCCAACACCAGTAAGCATACCGTGCTTATACCCCTAGGTAATGTTATCGTCCCTGTTCAAGGCATCCGTGCATTCAGGATCGCAGAAAGGCCATTGGTAGTGCAATGCAAGAGTGCCCTTGCGCCACAGGAAGAGAAGAATGACGAATATGTACAGTTACGACAGTACCTGACCAGGGACAATGGTCTTGTTGGGGATCAAACACATTCTCAGGCTAAAACAGACGTACATCACCAATTGCCTCCAAATATGGAAAGGCCATCGTCTAAAGGGCATCAAGTGTGCCAATGCCCCTCTAACAGAATGACAGAGAGTTGTACAAAGAGCAAGGGAAACAGAAGCCAAATCGGGACAGATGAGATTACCTGCCAGCCGCCTCTACCGCGGCACCGACCAGAGGATGGAAATTCACTAGCGACATCGCCGGATGCATGCATTACAAGTTCCCTGCCTCTTCTTGTGTCTTTACTTACAGGACAAGCGGAAGCATCTTCCGGCCGCCCCAACGTCTCCTCCCATGTATCTCTGCCGCCAAACGTTACTAGTACTGCACCATTCCTCTCCCCCGAGCCTCCTTTAGCACAAAACAATTCAGACGGCATTAAGTCCAAACGAAGTTCTGTGACTGTAGGTTCGAATGGTGTGAGCCTATCTGCTGGAGACCACCGGCACCCTGAGCAAACCAACACACCGTATGGACTGGATGAAAATGTTGCGCTATCCGCCGCCCAAGTGCCGATTGACTGTCCCAACTGGCCATTACAAGGGAACTCACCACAAGCCGAACAGCCTGAATCACCAGGTGTATGTGTAAACCAGAAGACTGAGAAGGATGGGTGCACGTGGATTGACCAGGCGATCGAGGGCGTCGTGTTGGGAGCCCTCTTCGACCGCCCTTTCTCAGAACTCTTCGACTTCTGGATGAGTTGTCAGCCTGTATTCCTAGTGACGGAAGGGTCAGTTCACGCACTGAAGTAACACATAGGGTAAACTGTGGGTCAAACGCAAGTCTGTACAAACAGCCGAGGCGTCTTCATTTGCCATCAGATAAAACTAGTTCTGGGACTGAGAAACAGGATACAAAACCATCGTCTTGAAAGAACAAGCCACATGTAGTCCTGTTCAGCACATGTAAAATATGAGGAGGCTCCATCCATATTTAGCGAGTCAGTTCTGCGATAAAGGGACATTCAATAACCATGCGATTATCTAACCGAATATGTCTAATGTTAATGCTTTCTTAATTTTGTTGGAGTGGACCAGTAACACCTATTCCAAAGATTAGACAAGATACAGAGAATGCTGTTACTAATTAAAACAAATTTCTGAAGAAAAAAAACTTTCTACACAAGAAAGACATGCAGAAAATTTCTACAATGACAACTTTATTTTTAAAAAAGTCTTATAAAAAGAGGATGTAGAAGTGAACAACACTAGTTAAAACAATGCTTCTACCAGATCCATTCTTCAAAACTATCAGTTATTCTCATTATCGTGGTCATCTAGCACACAGCTTTTTTTCTAAATATGCGAAGTCTGCATCCTTTAAATTTCTCCTGCATTCTTTAGGTCTCACCAGTAACAGCCAAGTAGCAACTGTGTAAAAACATGCTGTCCAGGGAAGATAGATCATGACATGGAATTTCTAACTCTATACATGTGTAGTGTAAATCTGACTACTGCGGTAATCATTTTGATACTGAAACATGATTTTGTAGCAAAATGTAATGCTTTAGTAACAACTGATTGACAATAAAAAAACTAAAACTTAATCATCCGTGTAAATTTTTTTCACAAGTTACATGATTGGAACATGATTTGTATCTGGCATTACAGCAGAACATCTATCTTAGTTTTTCTGTTGAACTACAAAACTAGACATAGAAATAGTGTAGAAAAGGTTCCTGGCTGCTTCACCATCTACATTACACCACCAAATCAAATACACCTACAAAAAAAAGAGTCTCTAAGTAAAAAAACTGCATCATAAAACTTGACAAACTTGTTATGCAGCTCCTATATTCATATGGCTTTCAACATCAGCGCCAACAAAAAAGCACGCAAGTTTAAGTAAAATGAGGCACTATATACATGTATATGAGGCACTACATAGAGTGGTTTAGGACAGCATGTTAAGGAAATTAAGTATCTTTTGTTAATGTTTCACTTGGATCACTGCAGTACCAGAACACAGATTCAGAGTTAGATTCAGGTTTGTGAAGCTGATCAAGTTTCTTTGGTTGTGAGGTAGTGTTCCTTCATTGATCCCACAAAATGAATAGCACCAAAACAATTGCAGAAACTAGTAAATATCTCACAAAATGCTACTACAAATACTACCTCCATTACAGCTAGTTGTTTGTTCAACATGTACTGCAACTACACATCAAAGAATTAAGTTTCCTTTAAAATCTGGGGATGAAAAGCATGATGTTGACTCATCACAGTTCAGTATGGGGCTCATGGGGTATGCCTAGTGCCACCAGACGACTGAGGCGACCCTTGAACTTGCCTCGCCTAGATGACACTGCAAATAGAACATACTTGTTACTGTACAGTTCATTGAATAAAAAAAAATCTAGAACTGTTTTATTGCAGTGTCCTGAGAAAAGCTTGGGAATATGTTTTACCTGCCATGAGACAACTGCATTCCTATTTAATAAAAGATTGAGAATGTAAAAGCAGAATACAAATACAGCTTCAAAGTAACTTTACCGAAATAAAAAAAAATATTGGCTGCGATCAGTAATAATTTGAATTTCCCACTGGCAATAGAAGTTTTGTAAGTGATGAGGGTTAGTGTCTCACATGCTGTGCCTGTTATGGTCAGTAGATGGCATTATAGCTCTTCACGTGCACGGTGAGGGCGTGCAACAGCCAGCAAACGGCTCAAGTGACCTTTGAATCCGTCAAGTGATAACACTGCAAAACAACATTTAAATGGAATGTCTAAAATGTCATGCAGACATGCACCTTCGGTTTATTTGCACCAACTTCTGAAAGACTGCTAACTGTAGTTTTGTAAGGACAGAACTCATGTTACACATATTGAATTGACAATGGTTGAAGACTTTCTTTTAGTGTAATCAATTTGTTTAACTTGTGCAGGTCTGATATTGGCTCAGAAGTTGGGCAACGCGATTAATAATACAGCACCATCGCTGGTAATATTAGTTGAAGCAAGGAGGCTATATTTCTTTTAGGAATATAGCCTTCTTGGTTGTAGAAAGGAACATGCCATCATCAGAGAGAAATGAACTATCATTCCATTCACTGCCACAAGATAGTACCCTGACATGGCCTTTATAATTATTATTATAAATATATAACAGATAAAAGGAGCATCATAAAAACTGCAGAAAACTTCAAGCTTTAAACTTCAGAAAAATGCTTAGATAGAAGAAGGCAGGAATAGCTAATATTTTGCTTCAGTGGAAACAATGTGTTCATTCCTCTCTGTATAAGAAAATACAAACAAACTGTCTTCTATTTTGGGTTGTATATTGTGTAATTGTTTTCAATATCAAACTAAATTTGGTTGCTGTGGATTAAAACAAAATGTTTTTCATGACAAAACAGGTTGATTGATTGATCATGGCTTTGACAAGTTTAATCAGTGTGATCATCTTGAGTTTTGACAGTAATAGTTATGGTAAATAATCATATAATTTGTCCACAAGGGTTGGCGTTCTGGGGCGGGTTATTTAATTTTCCCAACAGCAGTAGTCCTCTGGCACCCACTTTTAACAGGTTATGAGGTTAGGCAGTAGTAGTAGTAGTAGTAGTAGTTGTACTGCGTGGAGGGTTAACACTTTGAAAAGTATATTTGTTGTTGCACCTTGAAGAAGCAGTACAGTAAGTTGTTCATGCTGCACTAAAGTTCCTCATGTGGATGGTGCATAAGTGCCACAGCAAACAATCTGCTCATATGACCTTTGAACTTTCCTGGTAAGGATGCAACTAATACATGGAGGAAAGTGGCAATGTCAGAACAGGCGCAACATTTGTCAAGATCAAACATTCACAGCTGCAGAGATGATAAGAAATTGATAGCTCTGTTAATCATCACCCAGCTATCTGCACTGTCATTGGACAATCCAATCCATTTCCTCACCAATCAAATCAAATCCACTTCATGTTTCTTTCCACATAGCTTCCCCAATCAAGGAGACAGTTTGTCTGTAAATATCTCAATTGCATTGTAATAGCAACATTCAAACAAAAACAACGCACTGCTTTAGAGCTCTTCATGGTGAATGTGGACACCTCCAACTCCAAGCATTCTGCTGATATGACCTTTGAACTTTCCATGCACTGCAGAAACTGACGTGCAAGGGGAAATGGACCAGCAAAGTCAGCAAATAATAGTTCAAAAGTCTTCCGGTAAAGACAAGAACATTTGTTTTCTAACACAGATATTTGCAGTATTAGGTATAGTCAAAGGGTAAGTAAATTAGACAACCTCAACAGTGTGACATGGTCTCATCATAAACAGCTACAAGTACAACATACTGGACACCTTATTGGAAGGTGATTTAGAAACAATACAACCAATGCTCTTATAACTCCACTGGCAGATTGGTAAGTATCTAACAATTCAAGCCACAAAAGCCTATGTACTGTGTTCTGGTTCAGTTGTTTGCTACATTCTTGAACAGAATTAAATCACAAGTTTTTCTTGGGTCACGGGTCATTTTAGAGCTTTAAGCAAGGAGGTAACTTTGGAATGGTCAATTTCTGCATGGGGATAATATTAATCCATTTTTGCAACAAATTGATTGTGGGCCGTGGGATAGATGTGAGGTGAAATGTCCTGCATTTGCTTGCAAATGTAGGCCTTCTAGTTTCAATGTAACATTCATACAAAATATTGTATAAATAAGTACATGTATATTGGACATACTATTTCAAGGAGGGCTTCATAAAAAAATACAAATGTATATTCAAACTGAAATATATAAAAATTGTCCCTTACATCCCCCATATATGAATCATAGAAACACACAACATCAAATCATAGACATTCATGACTACATGTAATTGATGTTTTACCTTCCATATTGCCTTTGTCTACCATGTACTCCTCTGCTGGTAGTGACACGGAAGGGTCACCCTGAAATACACACATGCAAGTATTAGTGCCCACATGTATGTTTGAATGAAGTAAATCAAACATAATGAACTAGTAAGAGGCTGCTTCAAGCACACTGACTCACTGAGGTACCATGAGTATTTCAAATTGTACACAATTTACTTTTTGCTCTACATCATATAGCATAAGGAATATTCTAACACTTAAAAGCCATTGTATTTCAACATCATATACTTGTACAAACCAGTACATTGCCTTGTAGTATGAATGATAATAATGAAACTTTATGTTGCATACTAGTAATAGAAAGAACTATCTTGCTTACATATGCCTCTCCATAGTTGATTTCATTGACTCCTATCAGGGACATTTTGAACTGCTTGAAGTTGAGCTCAGAATTGGTGGGGCCAGGCCTATGGAGAAACAGAGTGAGGAAACAATCTCAGTGAGTCAATAACTACTCCAGCAAGCTCTGATAAAATTTAATGCTTCAGAAAATATTTGTTACAAAACTTTCCTTGACAGTGAGTAGTATTATTGCATTGAGTACAATTACTCAAATACCACATTGATCATAAAATAGCTGGAAATTGTTAAACCCAAACTGGTATTGTTGTGGCAGGCCAATAGGGATAAAGTGGTCAAACATGCTACATCACTATTCTAGATGTTCAAACATCATTTCGGCAACTGTTTAGACATTAAGAGCTACCGGCCTACCGCCATACCAGTGACATCTTACACAGATGACAGGCGAAGATGGCAGGCAAAAATAAAAGCATTTAACTTCAGTGATATGAACAGCACCAGATGTACATCACCAAATTTGCAAAAACCTCGCAAAAGGCATGCAATAAGAAACAGTGTATTTTTGTCACAAAGTGAAATTCAGGTAAAACAGATACAGTTGGTACATGTAGTTCTCCTAAGAGGAAGAAAAAGACCCAAAGAAAACAATGAATGAAAGGCAGCAAACACAGAGAAAAGTGTCTTGAAATATGTCAGCAGATATTCTTCAGAAATTTGAACAAACTGTCTCTTTCAGAATAGACACTCAGAATACCACAGCCCAGACCCTCCCTCCATTTATGAAACTCGTGCATCAAAAAACCAAGAGTTGCAAGCAGAGAAAATCCAGAAATGTGACTCTTTAATATACAATGTACCTCTCTGCGAAGCAAGAATATGAGCTTTTGTCCGCAGCTGTATTTAGTGTAAACCTCCATGTCTGAAACAAAAGGAACAATGATGTTGTCAATTCCTCACAGTCTTTTCAGAAGAAAGGTAATATTACCTCTCAATGATGCAGGAATATGATGTTTTATCCGGGCTCTGAGACATTGTAACCCGCCATTCCTGCCAACAGAACACTGTTTTAGTAGAAATTCAAATCCTTCTTTTGCTATCCTGGCATAAATACACTCCATACAATGTTACAATACAGTTGTGTTGTTGTCTTTCGTCCATAATTTCTGTTAGTACTGTATATCATTAACGTATTCATAACATCCTTCTTAGTTCTATCATTACTTCTGAGAACAATTTTCCTTGGATAAAAACAACATGTAGATGATGTGTTTACCATGTATTCATCACCATTGCATCTACCACCTTTCTAGGAAAGAAACAGTTTTGCTGCTTATTTGCTATTAGTATTACAGATATTTAATTGAATGCCATTACATCATACACATAATTTGTTTCCAATAAACAGGCCTTTGCTTCTTGAAACATACCTCTGTTTCTCCTTTTGGAATCTCGTATGAAAGTCTGCATGTGAAAACATCATCCTGAAATCAAAGAGTTGCAAAGCTGATTACCTTGTAAGAATGCATTTACTTATGAATGAATATGTGTACACATCACAATAGTATCATTACTTTACATTACTGCTGTGTATCAAGTCCGGATTCAAGTCCAGGTTTAGGTTAGGAACTCCGAAGTAAACCAATGACATATACAAAATTGCATGTTGGAAAACATTTTGTAGTGCGCACTGCGCCACTACCAGGGTTTAGAAGCAATATATCAAGATCATAGATGTATGTTTGTTTGCACACACGTCTGGGTGAAACCATGGAGGTAGAAAAGCTAAAAAGATGAAAGCTAAAAAGGCTGACACTCTAAAGACTCTAAAGGCTAAAGACAATGCCCAATGACAATGTTTTCTTTACTTTGCTGCACAGGTTTTTTGATCTATTTAATTTTAGGTGGCTTAGAGTGAAAAAAAAGAAAATATGCTTGCAGCAAGATGCGATGGTTCAAATTCATAACCCCCTGCTGGTACTTATAATGCAATTTACATTAGAATTTATCATTTAGAAATGAAAACAGAATATCCTTGTCTGTCTATGACTCATTGAAATAAGTAGGAAAAAAATCTTGTACTTGTCAATGTACAACATAATTATTGTTATAAGTCAGACAGGAATTTCTTTACATAATAAGGATATGATTGTTGGAAATATGGGGTGATGGAACTCTGGACTGAATAACCCTTCATAATTTGCCTAATTGGTTTAATTAATTCCACAACTACAATTTGCATGCAGACTGGCATATGCATGGCTGACTTGCTGTGAAAACACCCCTGCAGTCAATATGCAAATGTCACTTGTGGAACTAATTACACCAAAAAACAATTCTGCTCGAGCTTGAAGATTCTTGATAGCGCAGATTGTACGGGAATATGTACGGGAATAACAAATGTATGAAGACAGAGCAAACATAATTGTGTAGTGAGAGACTGCAGCTCAGTTGTAACCTCCTTCGTGTGCGTATCAGTACCGTTATCTTTTTCATCTGATTCTGAGGCTGTTGTCATCTTTCAGAGTTTCCTATCTTCAATAATTCAAACTGAAGACGCAAGCCACGTGTAGTAAATTCTGCTTCCCTTCCTCCAGGTTCGAGGGCATGGTACAAGCCGAGAGGGTAGAACTAGAAGAACTATGTTTTTATAATATAAACGTTAGTACACAAAAATACGCCCATGGCTTACCAGATTCCTCTCGAACGTCTTCAGACCCTTGCCAATTTCAAGGTCAAAATCCTCAGAATACAGCCCGTCGGCCTCGTACTTGAACTTTTCGTCTTTAGGAGGCCAGTCATCCGGAAGTTCATCTGGGGTAACAAAGACAATGGAAGATACAAGACAGAGAAACACGAACAAACTCCTTCCCACAGACGCCATTTTGGACTTCTGAGTTTAGAGCGCAGGCGAAGATGATCCTCGGACCAATCACAGCGTGAGTTGTATAATCTCGTCCAATCAGAACTTGTCAAAGTTGCGATATGTGATTGGTCACCAAAAAATAACTTTATCCTGCCACGTGGAGTCTGGAAATGCCTCTCCTGCCTGCCCTGTCCCGAACTTTCTCAGAAATGCCGACGCTTGCAGGGGAACTGAGATTGCGTCCCACCATCCTACAAGATGGAGGTGAGATCGTGACACCGAAGCCGCCTATAACCAAGTCCTTGGTCACCCGGCCAGAGGATTTCACTACAGTATTTCGTAGTGTGTGGTGAGTGGTCATTTTGGAAGGAGGACTGCGAGGAGTCAAATTCTCTGCCGGGAAAAAAGTTGCCCTATCATATTTTAAGAAAGATGACACAGATGGCCCTGTCTTCTTGTCGCTGCCTTGTCGTCGTTCTTCTTATCTGTCCGCCAGGGATGACCCATTATAGCCTGGGGCCTGGGTGCCCCCTTTTGTAACGGGGTTCCTTTATTCGCAAAACCAAGGGCGTTTCTCGATTTGGAAAAACAAAACGAATGGTCATTCATAAGCCTTATAATAGAGCACGGCAGGGAAATCGCTGAAGTCTCACACACTCAGTAACATTATAGGCAAACCGAGCTTTGCAGTAGGGGGGCGAGTATAAAGAAATTCAGCATTTTGTGTGTAATATCTTGGTCGTTTCGAGTGTGTTGGATCAAGTAAAATCTAGCCAGTCCCGTTACTTCTGCGCTATAACGTTACAGACCACAGCATCATTGAAGGGGTTTTTCTATTTTCTGATTCCAGCCTGTCAAAGTTGAAGCCAAGGACGTTGATAATGATATCATGACGTCCATGATGGTCAAACCATGGAGGTATAATTTCAACTTATAACGTTACCTCCATAAAGGTAAAGGTATACCTCCATGCAAACCAATGACCTCCTTGGATTAGAAGTTGAATGCCCCCCCACATCTGCTTGACGCATGTCGATAGTCCGACGACAGCATCCAGACGTAAAATCCTTTACAGCGACCATGATGTTCTTATGATCCACACTTTTGCCACAATATAGAGATATTAAGATACGCGTATAATAGGAATAAAATGTAGAGTTTTGTCAGTAGAATAACGATTAAAAGAAATATGGTGGTATAATTTGCAAGGATCTGTACTTATAGCGTTTGGATGTGATCTTTTTCGGTGAAAGGTTATATTTTCTCGTCGAAACAAAAACAGCTGACACTCTATGGTCGACACTATAGCCAACGTAAGTATAGTTCACATCCTCTCGTACGTGAGTTGTCGGTTGGAGCAAGGAATCTTTTTAAACCTCCTTGGTTGGAGAATGCAGTCTCCACCAGGCGCGTCGTTTTGTTGCAGAAAAGATAGTCTAGACGTTGGCTTTTGTTATGTGTGTGTGGGTGGGGGGGGGGTGAATTTGATGCAAAAAAAAAATATTAAGTTTAACCAAGGAGGTTTAAAAAGAGACCTTGGTTTAACGTTACCTATGCTATTGTCGAGATCATGATGGTCCTTTTTCTGTACCCCTTGGCAGGATAATCCAGTGAATAATACATTTTTTCACTGATTGACACGATCGTCTCGTCAGTAAGTCCCTATTAGAAACCAATCAAGCCAAGAAAAGCATATTTCAGACTAAAGAGTAATGGTTACTCGAGTACACCTATTAAACAGTTAACGTTACATCCTTTCATCCGTTCACAGCCACAATTTTTTTTCCACAGTTGACTGGAAATTGCATTGTAGCACGCCTAAAATATGAACTCACTGAACAAGTTCAAGCAAGGATGTTCACCACTGTGATTTAAAATTTAGTTTGTTTTGACTTATAAGTTTCCTCATGTTTAACATCTTCAGAATCCGGAGACCATCACTGAGTGGGCCATACTGACGCTGACCACAAATCAGTGTGAAAGAGACTGATGCTACCAGCATGAGTCAACCTGCAGTAGAAACCGACAGACCAGGGAATAGAAGCCCTGCAGTCAAGGACAAAAACACATTACCTAGAGGCAGCCCCGATGCTAAAGGTGCATTTGTACCAGTCTCAAACTCCTCCACACCATCCAGAGGACAAATGTTAAGTGGTTCTGCCGATACACAAGTTGTGGATGGTCCCAAGGGTAGGTCACTTGTACACAGTACACCTGAAACAACAGTTGCACCTACAGGAAATACCTCAAATACTGCAGGTGCCAGATGTTCCATTGGGACCAATGACAGGTAAGGTAAGGCCATGTTGATTTGATTGTATGGATGACATCCTCCGGGAGCCCCAAAACTGATGCGCGCGTGCGAATAAAAAAAAAGTTTTGCAAAAAAAAAAAGTTGTTTTCATTATGAAATCTACGTGGTCATGAGGGTTGAACAAATGGGACAGAATATGGTTTGGCGAATAATCTAATCTTCAAGTTCATTTCCTTACAATTTCGTCTTTTTTCGTTTGATTTTGGCATTCTACGACATTGGTATAGTTTTTACTTATTTTTTTGTAACTTACGGTATATTTTTGCTCATTTTGCAATTGTTTTGTACGATTTACAGTATGGTTGAAAACTTTTTTTTTGTTGG